AGCCACTCATTTAGACTATCTTTCATTTGCCTCTTATTGTTTCCTGCCTGCACATTTTATCTCTACCAATTTAGAGAGAAGCTCTTTTATGGCAGGAGACTTTTTGTAGGTCTGTCAGAATTAGGCTCTCAACAAGGATCCATCATATGCATTAATAACTGAATTTTTGAAAGTGTACTTTTGTGAACATATTACCGAAATAAGTACATTTGGGATCATTTTAAACAGCTCCAGTCTGCTTCAGCTTCTTAATGAAAACAAAAAAATTGAGTCTATCTGGGAAATGTTTTTTAAACTCTATTGATTTTGAACTATTGATTCATTCTTTCTTTAAGGGGAGTATTTTCCCCACAGTGAAACTTGTACACTATGCATTTGTATACCACAGGAGCCCACTCTTCTAGCATGAGGTTGTTACAGTCAACATATCACTATATGGACAGGTTTACCATCCTTTTTCCAAAATTAACAAGACATTATTACTATGTATGAATATCAGCAATTGGCCTGTAACTTTGGGGTAATTTCCAAATATAGTTGGGTAAAATACATAAGAGTAGTATGCAAAGAGATGAAACCAGATTATTATAAGAAGCAAAAAAAAAAAAAAAAAGAGAGAGAGAAAAGATCAGTCCAGTTTAGGCTGGCCGTAATTACAGGCTATATGCAATGAAATGTGGTAATTTGATCCTAGTTGATTTAATGGTATAATCCCTTTTTTGCATCAATAGCCCCCAAATTGCCTTTTGTATGAATTATGTTACAAGAAATTTGTAATTTTATCAGAAAGATTACTTAAACAGAACAGGTAGAATTATAATGTGGACTTTAAAAAAAAAAAAGATAACCATGGGATTTTTTAAAATCAAGATTTCTACATACCCTAAGCACCTTTTTAAAAAAATTACAGATTAATTTTTCTGACTGTGTGAATAACATGTACATACTGTAGAAAGTACAAAGAAAAAACAAAAAATTATGCATAAACTGAGTCTGAAGATAACCACTGTAACAATTCTGCAGCAGTTCCTTCTAGCTACCTCTCTCTCTTATAGAAAAAGCTAGACTTGTTTTAAGGTTTATGGTTAAGATCACATTGTACATCATAAACATTTTCCAGGATCACTAAGAATTTTTCACTAAGCTTTGTAGATAATCTTTTATTTTAGCTATTTTTCAGTAGACTATATCCTCCACTTCCATTTTAGTTTAAAGGATAAGACACTCATGGCATTTAAAAATATTTTTTTAATAAAAATAATTTACAATCCTATTATTTTCTATAACTATTCTCATTTTTCCTATTCTTTCTCTTACAGAATGGAAGCTATTTTGTATTCTATTACATGGTAATTTTGACTGGAACACTTTCTTCAGAGAACATCTTATGGCAGTGGTTCTCAAAGTGTGGATCCTTGGCCAGCAGCAGCAGCCATCACTTAGGAATTTGTTAGAAATGCAGATTCTTAGGCTCCACTCCAGACCCACTGAATCAGAAATGAGTTTAGGTGGTGGGAGATGGGGAGGGCAGCAATCTGTGTGTTTTTATAAGCTATCCAGGCAATTCTGATGTACATTAAACTTCGAGAACCACTGTCTTACAGGATCAACAATCAGTAAAACATCCTTTAGGAACAATTTGCAAATTTGCTTTTCTGACTAGGCTCTATTTCCTGGAAGGAAGACACAAATTTCTGGCTGCCTGTGTTCCCTGAAGGTAGAATGGGGATATTAGCTGCCTCCCCAAGTAAGAATTAAATATTAAGAATCAGTAAAAGTGCTTTGCAAACAATCAAGTGGTGAAGTGAGAGGTAGATTTAGTTACTATTACAGTAATCTTGAATTTAAGCTGAAAGATTTATATAACTAACTCTGGAGAAGGCCAAGTGGAATGTGGACACAGATGGTTCTTAACTTTCACATACTTGATTTTTATATAACCTGATTTTCACACATTACACATGCCACCCCTAAAATGCCTTTCCCACACCAAATCTGGAATTTCCTACACTTGCCGTTTAATGAGCAATTTGAGGTATCCCATGGCCGCACCACCTGCCAGCCCACAGCTCTGCTTTGGCAGGGCACATCCTTTCCTATTTTAAAGTTTTTGTGCATATTTTATTCATATATCCATTACTATTTACAAAGAAAACAAGAGAGAAACAGGAAAAGACAGTCCTCAGCCATGTTTAGTTTGTATTACTTTTCTTTGACAGCCTTCGGCTATGATTGTTCATATTTTTGTTTTATGCATGTTACACAATTAAATATTTCCTAGTTACACAAATTAGCATTTCTGTCAAGTTCTCTGCTTCCTGAGTTCTCTCTGCTTCTTCTGTCAGTGTTCTCCTTGATCTATCATAGCCTTCATGTGTGATGATCCTCAGATGACTGTAAATCCCCAGTTATCTGTTCATAGTCTCATGATTTATGGTACCTGGTGTGTGCTCCCTCTCCAACCACTCAGGCTCATTTACCCCAACAGGCCTTTCTCCTAACAGAAAGGGTGGCTGCGATCCTCATACGAGTAGATAGGGCCCTGACCAACATACTCCACTTGAGGGACTTGGGCATGGGGCAGACATGCAGGCTGAAGACCCCTTATCCTCTCACCCCTACCTCCTCCCCAGGCAAGGAGGGCTTCACTTGGGCATTGGAGGACATCAATGAATTTTTCACCTACGCAAAAAATAACTTACATTTTTTATTACTTCAGAGTCCATTTTGGATTTTTCCATTTATCTCTCTCAGCCCTTGAGCCCCACACATCACTATCCTTCTGAGGATAGGAGGTTCACATTATTTGGAAGGAGATTCTGGGATTTTCACCCAAGTCTAAGGCGGTGGCAGCTGCTGCCTACTCAGGGGCGGTGGTAGTAGGAGGCCAGGGGGCTTTGTTGCTATGGATGCAGGTCTGTAATTAAAACTCCTAATAATTATCTCAGGGCCCCCTACTGCTCTTGATTTATACATTTATACATTCTAACTCTGAACTGGGAGTTTTTATAAACTTTTAACTTTCTTTCTTTCTGGCCCAATCTATTTTTTATAGAATTCTCTATACCAGTGGTTCTCCTAGTGCCTGAACCAGCAGCATCTACAGAACCTGGGAACTCGTGAGAAATGCAAATTATTTATCCATAATACTGCTAATAAATATTTGGTTGCTTCTGGATAGTATAAATAAAGCTTCTGTAAACATATCTCTTCATTTCTATTGGGTAAAGAGCTAGACATAGAATTGTGGGACAAATCCAATCTGATGCAATTCAAAAAATTTTCGTAATTATGATGCACTAGTGGTACAGTGCTGTGGATATATTTTTTTATGGTCGCCAGGTAAAATACAGTAAGTCCCAAATATTGCATTTGGGACATACTTTTACAAGAAAATTATTGTTTATCTGAAATCCAACTGGGTGTCCTGTATTTTTTTTATTTATTTTTTGCTAAGTATGCCAACCCTAGTTTCTTTTAATTATCATTTATGTTATTTTAAGGGCTTCAGAGAGTGGAAGAAGCAAGACTGACTTGTATGATGAATCCACCCAAGATGGAAATTTGGTGGAAAAGCGATAGCTTCATAACCCACTTATCAAACTTCTTCTGCAAAATACCCTGCCAAGCCAGTGAAAATATGCCATCAGGAAGTCCTCCTTCCTAACATTAAGTCAAAACCTGATGTCTACAAAATGTCATTTCAAATAGGCTAAGTACAGAATAAGAGGTAAGTTAAAATTACTTTAGATAAGAAATTTCACTGTCTATATTTAATGTTTATGTTGTGTTTTGTACATTGGTAATATTCATGTTTATACTGGATAACTCGGGCTTCTATTTTTAATTAAGATTAAAACCTTTCTAACATATACAAGGGACTTCATAAATTTTTTAGCTCTTGGGGATAAAATTCCTCACATAACATATAAGGTTACTGCTTGATTTTAATATATTTAACTTTTCATACAGGTTTTCAGAAACTCATTAAACACCAAAATAGAACTGCCTCTAAAAATATGTAATGGGCAGAAAAAGTTTTTAGATTTAACTATTAGACCCGTGGGCTAAAAAATTAAATATCTAGATGTTTTATTAGCTTTCTAGCAAGCTTAACCAATTTTGTTACCTTACCATATGTTTTTACTAGATAAAGTGTCTTAGTATAATTAGTTCTTACTTAGCAGTTATGGATGTTATGAGATTATACTACATTCTGCCTATGGATATTTTGGACTTGCATTCATTTGTCCTGTAATTTTAAAAATGTGAGCTCCTTCTCCCCCACTGTTTCGGTACAATCTTTTGTGGTAAGTTGGTGGAAGGACGCCACCCTGGTTTTTAGGCTTCTGGAAGAACATTATTCCTGTGGAGCTGTGGTCACTACTGAGTTATTGCTGAAGAATCATGTCCAAGGCCTATCCCCGGTCAGCGTTTTGTCTCTGTATTAAATACTGTTAGTGGTTTTAAGCCCTTCCTTGTTCTTATTTCAATAAAATAAAAACTCCTGTGAAAGAGGATTTCCAGAGGTGTTAGGAAACTACATTTAGGTCCAATAATCCCCAGGTTACTCTGCACAGATTAGATTCACTTTTCTTTTAATCAGCCATTCTTCAGAGAGGTTAAGAAATTATGCCTCTCTGTTTTTTTATGTCTGGTAGAAACATTAATGATAACAGGTAGTTACCATATGCCAGGTTAAGTATTAATCTAAGAACTTAACATGTATTTCTTGCTTGATAAGAGTCTAAATCATAACCAGTATGATTATGCCCCATCTATAAGCTAGGTGCTCTACATACATAATTCAAACCTCAAAACAACTTCTTAAGAGAGGTATTTAGAAATCAGGAAATCCAGACACTGACAAGTTAAGAAAAGTGCCCAAGATGATATAGGTGGTATATCATTTAATTTGGATTTAAACCCAGATTCTCAATCCTTTTTCATGTAATGTAGTTGAATCAGTTTTCATACTTAAAAAGCATTTGGTCACTTACCTTATTTCACTTTGACAAGAGACTCTGTGGAAAGAAAAAAACATACTATTACCTCCATGTTAAAGGTAAGCAAAATAATATGGAAGAGGCTAAATAGTTTTCCCAACTTCACACATTAATGGTAGAGTTGGCCCAGAGTCCCCTCTTTCTGACCATTAATATGATACCTTTTTGCTATCGACCCACCGTGTAAAAGGTGAGATCATGTTAAGATTATAGTTTTAAATCCTTCCACTCAAACCAAACCCTCAGCGGGTCATCATCCTTGAATTCTTAGTTCCCACATAGTCATTGTTTATACCTAGTCTAATTGCGGTGAGGAAAGAGACAGTTGTGAAATAGCCAAGAACCCAGAGCCCTAGTTTGTGCCAGCAAACAGTGATCTTCAAAGATAGACAGAGTCCTCAACAGTTCTACATTCCAAACCACACTTCCCAATAAAAATGATCCTCCATAACTAGTTCCAAAGAAAGCTTGAGGCCTGGATCCCAGGCCATGAGTTCTATGAGAGGGCATCAGCTGTAACCCCGCCGGAAATTTGGCAAATTGTTTAAAGAACCCATCTCCTTCAAGCTGCCTTTGATGGCAAAGCCAGATGGGCTCCTCTGGGCACCAGCTGACCTTCTCCTGCTCACCTCTTGCAGGCCTTTCTTCTTCTGTTACTCTTCCCCTCCAGGTCATAGTTCTCTGCACAGATGCCTCTCCTTGCCAAGAAGATACATTGACTCAAATGATCAGATAAACATGCTAATGATTTTTCTAGGCAAATAAACACTATGTCACTTCAGGTCTCTACAAAATTTCCTCCAACTATTTGACAGCCCTATTCGCTTACAGAGTTCTTAAAAACTTGATGCAGGTTGAGCTCAGATTCTAACTTCGGATCTCTGTTGGCTCGCACTTGGGATCTGTTCTGTCTTCCATCTCCAGCTGGCCCACTGTTGTGCCCTTTCCTCTGGAACTAAGACTTCCCCACATTCGTCTCCACATTCCTCACACTTAACACTAATGGAATTTATAGCTTGCTAGTTCAGCTTTGTCCTTAAGAGCAAGCAAAGGGGCATCTGGTTCAGGGCCTGCCTGCTAAGTAGGAAATAGCCAAAGCCTGTTTTTTACCTTTTTTGTCCAATTTTCCCTTCCTTTGTCCTCCTCCTCTATTTGAAAGACTTGCGTTATAGAACTCTCTGCTTAACTTTTTTTGCACCCCATGCTTGATCACTGCCTAGTTAAGGTTCAGCAAAAAAAAAGGCCTAAGGCAAGTTTACAGAATCAGACTCTTTTCCCTGCTTCAAGCTACTCCCTAGCAGTCAGTCCAGTAGGAGGTTTTTGAAAGATGCATTGATTCTTTAAGACCACTGGGGTAAATCACTGCCTATAAAATGACCTGTAAAATTGGGTAAAATTCTGTTCCGCTGCACTGATGGTAGTGTAGATGCCCCTAAGAGTCCACACAACTTCTAAGAGTTCCTGAAAGCAACTTCAACAAAGAGAAGACCTCATCAAATCAGTGTCCGCTCAGCCATCTCCTTCTCTATGGATAACAAACACGTTCAGTCATTTACTCATTCATCTAACATACATTCTTTGCAGCCCTGCTCAGAGCCAAGTATGAGATAGGTGCTGAGGGTACATCAGGCAAACCCAAAAATAACAATGGTTCATGCCTTCAAAGAGTCCCAGAGCCTGAGGAGGGATGCAAGCCTCAAGCTCCGTTTCCTTTTCTGGTGGCTCGACCCATCCCGACCAACTACTGAAGACTGGAAAAGGATTGGTCCTCTCTTCTCATCTAGCCCCTCAGCTCCTTAGGCAGTGAGACACACACAGAGACACACCAAGTGCAAATTCCCCTTCCCTCCCAGTGTTCATCATTTCTTACCTGCTAGGTATCCCAGTTATCTGTCCATAAAATAATAGGTAATATTTAATGTCTATTTTGCTGGGTCGTTGAAATTAAGAATAATGAAAGTAAAGTGCCTGGCACACAGCAATTGCTTGATAAAGAATGGTAGCTATTTTAATAAGAAATGGAATGAGATACAGTAGTTGTCCAGTAAGTAGTAGCTTTAATATGGTAGCACTTTGTCCTCAGTCCGAAATGCAAAGGGCTGATGTATCAAGGTGAGGGTTAATGGATGTGGAGGATTATTTTCCTGGCTCCTTTTTCATCCTATATCACGCAAACCCTGTCTGTGCAAGCTTTTCTGTTCTGTCCTGAGGAGCTCAGGGTGTGTCTGCTCCTCAGGCTGGCCAAGCCCTACCTGCTGAAGTTTCCTGTGTAGCCAGAGGTCAAGCAGTTGGCAAAGTCAAGCCAGCCAGCTGCTGTGAAGTGATACTTCTGAAGGAAATCCTGGATCGGTCCTGCAAGGGAGTTGCAAACTGCAGCCTGGATTAACCCAGGCTGTTCATCAGGATGTCTCAGCTGCTCATCCACTCTCTGCTGGGCAGCTGGGCAAAAACTCAGGACCGCCACTCCCCATGGCCCAGCGGGGCCAGAGGGAGCAGTGGGGATTCCTGATCAGTGCATGCTCTCTTTCCCAGAAGAGGGATTAAGCGTGCCTTGACAAAGTTTACTCTTTCATCATTCTTTCTTGGGGAGTGAAAGTGGGTGAGGAAAGGGACCACTCCTCCCCCCATTAAAATTCCCTTCAAACTGCTCTCTCTTGCCGTCACACACTGCCTCTGAGCCAGCACACCACTGGCCCCAAACGGGTCTGCGTTCTCGGTAAGATGAGGTAAAGATGCCAGTCTCGGAGGGTTGCTATAACAAGTAAATGAGAAATCACAAGTGGAAGCACTAACCAAACTGTGTGGCACTTGATAAGGACAGACTACATCCAGTTTTCCCTTTTTCTTAATAATGTTGTAAGGCAGTGTCACACAGTGTGAGGAAAATGAGCCTATAATTTGCTATCAAAACTCTCCTATTGCAGGTGATCGAAACTCTCCTATTGTAGGTGATTCAAACTAGAAGGAAAAAAAAAAGGAATTCATTGGCTCAGGGAGTTAATAGGCATGACTAAAACTAGAGGCTCAAATGAAGTTTGCAGAGTCCTTTTCTCTCTCGCATAGCTGGCTTGGCTCCAGTTCTTGGCTACTGCGTTCTCTCTTGCAACAGACAGCATCTCTCCATGTGGGAAAGAAGACCGTCCTGGGAATCATGACCTGAAAGGAAGAGGCGCATACTCTCTCCCATGCCCATGTATTGTATCTCATGGCTGGACTTTGGCCCTTTGTGGTTCATGTGCCCTTTCCTTATCAGGAGTCAAACTATGACCCATAGGCCAAATTCAGCTCACATCCTGCTTGTGGACAGCATGAGAATGGTTTTGTCATTTTTAAATGGTTGGAAGAGACACAAAAGGAGGATAATATTTCATAACACTTGGAGATGTTTTGAAATTTGGATTTAAGTATCCACAAATTTCAGTTTTATTGGTCACACCACACTCATTCATTTATGTATTGTCTATGTCTATTTTCCTCTACAACAGTAGGATGGGGTAGCAGTGACACAGACAGTATAGCCCACAAAACCTAAAATAGTAATATCTGCTCTTTACAGAAAAATTGTGCAGACCCTCCCTGCCCTAGACCAGTCATGGTAAACAAGAAGACAGGTCCCTCTAACTGGCCAGATCTGAGTATTGCATCCATCCCTCTAGCTAGGAGAAAGATAAGGTAAGAAAAAAATAATAATACATTATCAATTTGTGCACTCACAATGTCAAGCAGTACTCAAGCACTTCACTTGTATTAATTTATTTAATCTTGGCAAGAACTTTTAGTATTCCCATTTGATGGATAAAGAAACTAAAGCACAGGAAGGTTATGCAGTCTTTCCAAAATTACACAGCTAATAAGTGGTAGAACTGAGATTTGGACCAGGCCAGTTGGTCCAGAGTTCACTCTTTGACCAGGACAGAGTCTGTTCTTACAAAACAATGTGGGACGGGGGAAAGGAGGATTTCCCTGCTTAAAGAGAGGTGCTGGGGAAAAAAAACAACAGACAACCGTAACAGTGTGAGATCAACATGAGTTTGAACATCTTTTACTTAACTTCTGAGAACCTTATTTTTTTCATCTAGTGTGAAATAGATGAGATCTGCCCTTTGGGGTGGTAGTAATGGTGCTAGTTAACATTCATTTAGCATGTACTCTGGGCTGATACTAAGTACTTTATGTATGTTGTCTCGCTGAGTTAAACTAAAGCTTAGAAAGGTTCCAATAGGAGCCTGGTAAAGCACTACCAGGGCCTCAATAAGAAGCTAGCTCTGTCCAACTGAAGCATCTGGTACATAACTAATGCATCGCACTGCCTCCCATCCATGAGGATGAAGAGAGGTAAGATATCAAATGCACACATAGTGGAGAGTCTGACACACAGTAGGTACTCAATTAACGTTAGTTTCTTTTCTTCCTCTTTCCTGACTTTTCCCCATTCACCTTATGGAGATATATATGAGCAAGGACTCCATACGTATCCTTGAAGAGTCCTTTTGGAGAGTCTTTTAAGTAAAAATTTAAAAGAATGTCCCAAATCAGATCCCAAGACTTAGTCACTCGTGATGTCAAAAAAAGCAAAGCAAAAATAGTAAAGGTTCAGAGAAGGGCAGTGAAAATAATTTGTGGCATGCGTGGCAGAAGATCATGCCATGAAAAGAGGAATTCCAAACCCTGGGATTATTTCATTTGGAAAGAAAAGCTCCCAGAGGCACAATGTTTACAGTATAATAAGCTGACAACAGGTATAGGAAAGACTAATCAGGACCTGGTATTTACTTTTCCCCTAAAATACAAGAACCAGGCTGTTTAGCGCATTGTATAATAGCCGTGTCACCTTCCACTTTGGAACACTATCAAAGTGAGCTTTACCCTCCCTTCCTACTAACCACAGTGCCAAACCACACCTTCAGTCCCAATCGGTACACAAGACACTATGCTCTACACGTACAATTCAGAATCTGGATACTGCTAGCTAGAAGGCATACTGGGGCCATGCAGTCCAGCCTCTTATGTTATAGATGAAACGGAAGCCGAGTAAAGGGAAATAGTTCATCCTAATTTGCATGGTGAGTTCATGGCACCTCTAGATTTAGCTTGCCCTTGAAGTCAGAGGAACTGGATTGAGATCCTGGCTACACCTAGATGACCTTTCTGAGACTCAGTATCCCCATTTTTAACATGGTCAGAGAATCAAATAACAAAAGGCCTAATTCTCCATACAGTGTCTTATGTCTTGTGGCTTACTTCCCAGGTTGGTGTTTTTTCCTCTGTCATTCTACTCCTTGGAATAGCCTGATGTAGGAAAAGAGCTCAATGCTGGATTGTTGGGAAAAAAAAATTGGAAGATGCAGGTTCCCCGCTCCCCCCTTTACTTCCCCTCACCAACAATAAAGCACAAACTTCAGAAGAAACAAACTTGAAAATGGTGAATGCCAGACTCAGAGACCCTTCCTGGAGGGGAACCCTGTGGTCAGATATTGGCCAGGGCAATCCTTGAACAACTTGGTTGCCATCCAAGCCTGTTTTCAGTGGGGAATAAAGTTCATGTTTTGAAGGCAGTATCCTTGACTTTTTTATCCTGTTATTCAAATATTTCCTAATAATCTTTAGCATTTATACACTCAGGAGACCTTGAAGGAAAAGGATGCAGGACTCCAGTCTTTTTTCCTTCCTTTTGTTAATGAATAGATGTTTTCTTTCT